CCTGGTCCAGCTGAGAGACGCTTGATGACTCGTTACTGAAACGGGTCAGGTAGTCTCGGAGGCTTTCGGTTTCCCCCTGTTGCAGACCCATGAGCTCTGCGGTAGTCTTTTCTCGGCGGTTTGCCGTGGAAAACTTGCTCCTGAACTTGGAGGACAGATCATCCCAACCTGTTATGGAGCCTTGCCTTACTCCCTTGGAGATCCACGCTTGCGCGACCCCCTTGAGAGTGGTTGGGAAATATTTGCACCAAGTCGCCTCGGATCTGGGGCAAAGATGCATATGAGTCTCATACGAGGCCACGTGGTCCTTCGGATCCGTGGTCCCGTCATATGTGATATGCGACGGTATTTTAACCGTGGGTACGCGCTCTTCCAGTATCCATTGCTCGAATGGTGAACTAGCGGGAAGCATAATGGCCTTGCCCTTGTTCCTGGCCGAAGGGACCGCGCTCCGCCCTCTTAGAGAGGTAGGAGTGGTTTTCGTCCCTGGCTGGGAAGTCTGGGCCTCGGCTGCAGGGAACGAGAGGCGACTACGCACGCTCGGTTCCTGGCCGCCGAGTCGGTCAAGGACGCTTCTGCGAGCAGTCTCGGGTTCCCGGCGAGTAGATTCTGGCCGAGAAGCTGAGCTGCCGCTCTTATGCGCTGCTGGTCTTGAGGATGAGGATCCTTTAAATAATTGAGAGTTCTTCTTCCTCTGTTTTTCATTTTTCCAAGAATCCTCCTCCCACTCTTCCAGTTCCCGGAAGGAAGGAAGCTTCCCACCGTCATGGTCTAACTTCCTCCGCTGATGCCGGGTATGCGGAGGAGTTCGATCACGAGGCGGTGGCATATTCTGTGCCCTCATTGCCTCCATGAGTACTTCCAGCGCTCTTGCCACCTCTTCCGAACTGGGCCCCGTCAAAGGGGTCCCCGGCCGAGTGTGGGCATGAGGCCGTGCAGCCGATGGTTGGCTTCGGGACACTGAATATGTCCTATGATCAGACTGACCCCTGCTAGACCGAGAGTGGTCCGGCCTATATTGAGAGTCATGCATTATAGGAGATAGGGAATCCTCCTTGTGTGATCCTCCCCCCGAGCCGGCACCCTTGGGAGAGTTCCGGTCCGGCGTGGGCGATGGTGTAGGGGTTTTAGGCTTTTCGCCCGCTCCTTGACGGAGGCTTTTGCTCTTGCGGTTCTTAGCCATGGCTGCTAAGATAATTGCAAGATGATCTTGGTTAGGAATTTGGCTTAAAGATTTTTGAAAGTCTTCCCCACAGACGGCGCCAAATTGTTTCGGTTGAAAACAATGGGACCTTGCCGAAGGTCCACTGAAATGGAGAAGACTGGATTCGATCCAAGCTGTGTTGGGCCGAAGGTTTCCTGCACAGTGAACACACGTAAACTAGCCTCGGGGGTGTTTCCGAGGAAGGCCCCTCCGATGCTAAAGTCAGTACAATGTGTAAAAAGGAAGACACTATGCAAGAGAGTTTGTAGCTTGAGGCTTTTGTGGAGTATTTCTCAATGCAAGAATGAGCATATGAATTGGAATAATCAGTGTATGTGATAATGTATCTGATCTCCTTTTGAATGTGTTAATATGATGGCTTTTATACCTTGTCATACTTGGAGAGGTTGGGCTTTAGCCCAATTGGCTTACTTTGTGGGCTGACTTTTGACTTTTGAGCAATTGGAGAGTTGAACCTTGACCTTGGGCTTTTAATTGGATCATTTAGTGCTCAGGCCCAATTTTGACTAAATTGGACCCAAACAAGAAGAAACTATTAAGAGTGTCCAAAAACGTGAAATAACTAATATTACTCCGTATAAACTATGACTTTCACCAATTGATCTCCTATTACATACGAAGTATTTTACGAATATATATACAATAATAAAGAAAAAACTTAAATTATGATTGTAGTGAACAAATATAAGTAATATACTAAAAGATGAGGAATAATTACTGATTCGGTAAACATTGTTGAGGCCTAAGTGAGGAACGATGTGGTGGGCAGCATCTGAGGCTAAAATTGGACGACTGTGATAGAGAGATTGGGTGATTTTTAGAAGAAATTGGTTGATGATAACAAATATTGAAGGAATTAGGTTTTGCATGTGACATTACATGCATTGGTAAGATTGTGAAGCTAGAAAGGGCTTGTAGTATAGCCATTTTTTATAAAAGTATTGTTTTGTGTAGTCAATTAAGATATGTAGAGTGAAAGAAAAGTGGAAGATGAAGAAATGTTTGCAATAGCTTGTACATTATATAGTACCGAGCTAGCTATAATTAAGAATATTTTAATTATGTGATTAGTAATAATAATGGATTGTTTTAAGTAATCACATTATTTTAATTAAGTAAAGTCTTGGTTATGACAAAAAATATGGTTTTGAAAATAAGTTAATGACGAAAAAAAAGTCAATGGTCTTCTAACATATAATTTTGAGATTTCATAGGTATTATGATTATATCTTTTAACTAAGTATTATATTTTGAAATTACCTAAGTTAGTTGCCTAATAAAGTATACATTGTATGATTACTTTTGATGGTTCTATGTTCCTATTAGAATTCTGCTACTACAGGTATGGTCATTCGAGATCACCTGGGGAATCATATTATCAGTCAAACTTATAATTTAAGTTTTTGTCCGGACTTCCTTGCCGAAGCTATCGCCCTTTAAAATGGCCTCCTTCTTGCTAGGGAATTTAATATTTCTAATATTTTTATTGAAGGTGATGATCTTACTGTTATTAATATCTTGCAGGGTCATTTCAGTTGTCCATGGAAACTTCAACTTCTTATGGCGGATGTCAAGGCTAGTTTGGATTCTTTTATGAATTTTCAGGCAAGACACATCTATCGGGAAAGCAATCGGGTAGCAGACTATGTTGCCTCTCTCGGCTACTCTACTTCGACTCATCAAGATATAGTTTTTTTAGATAGTAAATTTTCTTATTTTTTACTTTTTGATAGTTTAGGTCACAGTCTTGCGAGAAGAAATATACCTAAGCTCCTCAATGTATCTTACTTTTCAAAAAAAAAAAAAATATCTGAAAAATTTGATTCTTTGATTAAAATATTCTTTTCTTTATAAATGACAAAATTTTATATTAATAATAAAATCATATCACCAATAGTTTGGGATCATTAACTCAATTATGATGTCGTGCAGGCTCTTTAATGGTACATAGTAAACTAGTAATCAAAGAGTACTCACTTATTTGATTCTTAAATTAAAAAAACTTCTACTACCTCCGTTTCTTATTATGTGCAACAAAGAAATATTTTATGTCTCACAAATAATACCCTTTGTTGCACATAATAAGAAACGGAGGTAGTATAAAGTTTCATAAAAGAAATAACATTATATTGCATTCTCAGCAATTTTAACTAGAAATTTAATTTTGCTTGGACCTGGTCCACAATAATATTATTGTGAACCCAATGTTTATACGTCACAACTGACATCATATTGAACATAGTAACCTCTTATTTTAACATATTAACCTTATTTTTTTTTAACATAGTAACATTTATTAAAGCTTATGTGACTTTTAATATTTACTTCAATTTTTTTTAGTTGTAACTTTGGGGTATTATTTGTGAGATATAAAATATTCTAAAGTTACAACTAAAAAAAATCAGTGGTAGTATTATTATGAGCCTGAAGTACGACATTACGTTGAACATGGTGACATTTATTATTCATGTTGACTAGTACATAAAAAAATTCATAAAAAATAAAAATTAACCTCTTATAGCCTTTATAACACTAAAATGGCTTCTATTTCAACATAATAACCTTTGTTTTAATATAGTGACTTTATTTAATTAATAAAACAAGCCTAGTGTCTCTAAATGTTAGTGATCCACAATAAATTAGAGTAAACCAAGTCCATTTAAGAATTTTTACAATTTTAAACATCAAATATATATTTCTTAAAAATATTATATGACATATATAAGATATATTTATAGCTAGGACAATTTTTCAAGGCCCCGTTTGTTAGTGCAAAATTTTCATGACGCATCTTAGATCCAGGCATCGTATAGAAGCGTCATCCCGAGTTCATAAGTGACGTCCCCGCAATCCAGGGATTTATTTGACTAATTTCGCAGTTTAAAGAGCTCAGTGTTTAAAGCAAGATAAGGTCGTTGCTTGTGCTTAATGTAGGGCTATGCAAAACTATCCGAAAAATCAAAAAACCGAACCGTAATCGAACCGAAAAATTGGGTACCCGAACCGTTTAAAGAAAACGGGTCGGGTAACCAAACCGATAAGAATTTAACGGTTCGGGTAACGGGTACCCGTTAACACTGTTTCGGGTACCCGAATGTCCCGAAAATATTTTTTTTCGAAATCTCAAATGAAAAATGTCAGTTTTTTTAGAAAAAAAGAAACAAAAAATAAAGAACAAAAAAGTGAAAACCCTAAACTTCGTTCTTTTCTCATTTCTCAGTCATTCACTTCACTCAGCCTCCATCCCCCTCTCTCTCCTCCTCTTCTCTAATGTCTCTGCCTCTGGTTCTCTAATCTCCATTCTCCATTCACTCCTTCATCTCCTCCATTGAAGCGGCTTTGAGCTTTCACTCCTTCATCTCCTCCATTGAAGCGGCTCTGAGCTTTTACTCCTTCATCTCCTAATGTCCTCAGGTAATTAACTAATTATCCCTTTGCCAGATCTAATTATTTGCAATGAATTGATTAAATTCAATTAAACTTAAGCTCTTGTTTTAATTTCACAGATCGCAGATTCAATTTAGGGCTCTGCGTACTTCGACTTCTCCATTGAAGCGGCTTCTGAGCTATACACCTATACTCCTTCATCTCCTCCATTGAAGTGTACTTCGACTTCTCCATTGAAGCGGCTCTGAGCTTTCACTCCTTCATCTCCTACATTGAAGCGGCTCTGAGCTTTCACTCCTCCATCTCCTCCATTGAAGCGTACTTCGGCTCTCCATTGAAGCGGCTTTTGAGCTTTCACTGTTGAGGTAATTTATATTTTATAGTATCTGACTATCTGTGGTTTTTTCGTATTTGTAATTGTTTTTTTTTCCTGATTTTTTATTGTGGTACTATTAATCTTTTTTTTTTTGTTTTTTTTGGGAGGAATGGTACTTATTATGGTTTTCAGAATTGAGGTTTTTTTTTATTATTTTTTGTCAAGTTGTGTCTGTTAGATTTAGATGAGTGAGTAAGGTGAGATTTCTGTTTTTGATGTGGAAATAAGGTTGTTGAGAAAAAACAAGGATTCAGAGTGATGTTGTTGTGTGATGTTGCTAAGCATCTATAGTTGCTGTGTACTAATGTTGTTGAGCATCTATAGTGTTGTGTGATGGCTTCCTGTGTGTTGAGCATCTATAGAGTTGTACATGATAATCATGTAGTCCAATATGATTTATTATAACATGAGTTAATTACAAGCATTTTAAGAAAACGTTTTAAGATTTATTGTAGTCCAATATGATAATCATGTAGTCCAATATGATTCATCTAGTTGCTTCTACTCAGGTTAATCTGTCAATGTATGGTTTAACAGAATTGAGTAATATTCGTCAGCTGGAATTTGGTTTAACAGTAACTTGTGTGGCTGTGTACATCATCTTTTGGACTCATTTTCAGTAATACTTGCCTAAGGTACTGCAAGGCTCACAGAGTGATTATATGGTGTAGTTGTACCAATAGTTTTTTTTATTTCACTTGCTTGTCTAAGATTTTATGATTGTGTATTTGTGTGACGTGGAAAAGTTTTTGTCCTGTTTGTTTCTAATAGACATATGTCCTAGATGTTCACCCTTTCAACCCTCATATAGCTATGACTCATTCTTGTTATTTGTGTATACATGATTGAACTTATTTGTTTTTTTTTCATTTGTAGGAGTGTATGGAATCTGGAAGTAGTGGGAATATGGAAGACTCATCGGCTACAAGTCAAGCTCCTCCAATTCCATGTCCTCCTCCCGAGCCTTGGGAGTATGACCCTTGTCCAATGACGGAAAATAATGACCCCTTTGACCAGCAAAATCAATCAACCCAACCTTCTGAACCTGCTGATGCTGCTTCCCCCTTAAGTGAAACTTCAAAAAAATCTAGAAAAAGGCGCTCTCCTCATTGGGAGCATTTTATAAAGAAGGATGGAGAAAACAAGGCTGAATGTATCTATTGTCATACATTCATTGGTTGTGCATCACTTCAAGGTACCTCCGGCATGAAGAACCACATAAAGCGGTGTAAGGAATACCCCCCAAACATTGATCAAAATCAGCAACTATTGTCCCTTAGTCAACAAACTCTTGATGGGAATCTCGTGGATCAAAAAAAAGGTAGACTTGAGCTGTGGAAATTCAATCAAGAAGATAGTAGGAGAGCTCTGGCAAAGATGGTGATCATGGATGAAATGTCTTTTAGAACGGTGGAGCATGAAGGTTTTCGCAACTTTATGAAGGTAACGCAACCCTTTTTCATTATTCCTTCTCGATGGACAGTGACTAGAGATTGTTTTAGGATTTATTTGGATGAGAAAAAAAGTTTGAAAAGTTTTTTAGTAAGTGCACTTCACGTATAAGTCTCACCACTGATACTTGGACTTCTTGCCAAAATATGAATTACATGTGTTTAATCGCTCACTTTATTGACCAAAATTGGAAATTGCATAAAAAAATAATTAACTTTTGTATAATTGTTGGTCACTCTGGTGAAACAATTGGTAAATCTGTCCAAAAGTGTCTACTTGAATAGGGTATTTCTAGAGTAATGACTGTCACTGTAGATAATGCAAGTTCAAATGATGTTGGCATTCAATATTTGAAAAGAAGGTTTGAAAGTTGGAAGACATTAGTTTTGGGTGGTCGGTTTTTACACATGAGATGTTGTGCTCACATATTAAGTTTAACCGTTAAAGAAGGATTAAAGAAAGTGATGTGTCAATAAAAAGAATTCGTTGTGTTGTTAGGTATGTAAGATCATCGGGTGCTAGATTGAAAAAGTTCATGAGTTGTGTTAAACAAGAAAAGTTGGAGTCAAAACGTTTTCTTTGTTTAGATGTGGATACTAGGTGGAATTCCACTTTTTTAATGATGGAAGGTGCTTTGGCATATCGTAGGGCTTTTGATTTGCTTGAATGTTTAGATGGTGGTAAATTTAGGTATGAGTTACTTAAGACAGGCGGGGTGCCTGAACCTAGTGATTGGGATCGTGTTGCCTCTTTTCTTCCTTTACTTAAAATATTCTATGATGCTACTCTACGAGTTTCCGGCTCGTTGTATATCAACTCTAATGTGTATTTACAAGAACTTGTTGGGATTAGTGAGTTAATCAAGAAAAAAATGTTGAGTAATGATGCGGGGGTGAGTTTAATGGCTAGTGGAATGAAGAAAAAGCATGACAAGTATTGGGAAAATGTTGATAATGTGAATCTCTTGTTGTATATTGCTGTCATTCTTGATCCTAGGCGGAAAATGGGATATACTAAATGGGAAATTAATCAACAATATGATTCTGAAAAAGCTAAGTACTTGTGTGATAAAGTGATGCAAACTCTGAATGACATGTATGAACTTTATATTTCTGAAAACCCTCCAAATGAGTCTATTCTCCCTAAAACTTCTGATTTTTCGGAGGAAGTAGAAGATATGGATTCTGATGTAGATGTTGCGGAATTAGAGTTTGAAAGGCAGGTGGGTTCATGTGTTGGAGTACAAGGGAAAAATGAGTTGGCCAAGTATTTAGAAGATGATAGAGAAGTTAATCCCGCCGGAAAAAGCTTTGATTGTTTGGGGTGGTGGAAAAAATATGGTGAAAGGTATCCAACAATAGCTCTCATGGCTAGAGATGTACTTGCCATTCCCGTATCAACAGTCGCTTCCGAATCAGCTTTTAGCACCGGTGGTCGAGTGCTTGATTCATTTCGCAGCTCACTCTCAACTAAGATGGTTGAAGCCTTGATTTGTGCACAAGATTGGTTACGTACATCTCAAGGTCCTCTTATACTTGAGGAGAGACTTGAAGATATGGAAAAAATTGAATCAGGTAACATTTAAATATTTTCTCTTTTTTTTTTTTAATCTCATTATCTTGTTAATTATTCATTAACTTTTTTTTAATTTTTTTTTTTGAAGAAATGTTACCTCTTGGTGAGGAACACTCTCTCTTTGTTGATGATGATTAATTGATTAGAGGCAGCAACTTATAATCATGAAGGTTGGTGGTGATTGTATTGAAGGCCGGAAGTCATTGAAGGCTTGGAGTATTTTATGAAATATGATTACTATGGACTGTTTTTGTTTTAAAACTATAAACTATGGACTTTTTTTTTTGTTATGTATTGGTTTATTATTGTTAACTATGGACTTTTTTTTTTAAAGAAACAGTATGTTTGTATCAAGTATTTGTTCATTTGTAATCGGGTTGAGTGTTGTGTTATATGTGTATTCAGGTTTAAATATCAGCCTATTAGGCTGTTATTTGTTACAAAAAAAATCATAGTACTAATAACAATAATTAATACTAGAAAAACAGGTGGAAGTTTGGACAAAAATATTATTAAGCAGGTGGGTACAAGGAGGAGTTCAGGCAGCCAAGTAGGAGAGGTGAGGAGGCATCAGCCTCAAGGACAGGGACTGGTAGGTTGCCAAAGCGGAAGACAGCGATAGTTGTAATTATTTTTGTTATTTGTGTATTTAAGTTCAATTGTTATAGTTCAAAAAATAGGAAGTAAAAAAAAAACACTAGTAAAAACTAAAAAGCATCTAAAAACGAATTGCAAAGCAGGTTTTAAATAAATAAAAAGACCCAAAAAAAAATCAGCTTATTGGTTCGGTTCGGATATTTGGTTCGGGTACCCGTATTTTCGGGTATCCGAATTTACGGGTACCCGAACCTTATCGGAACGGTTTCGGGAATCGGTTTTAGCATTAACGGTTATCGGGTACCCGAACCAATAACGTTATCGGAACGGGTACCCGTCCCATGCTCTCCCCTAGCTCAATGAACCAGAAGAACGGGTCAACAACTGACTTCCTAGATTCGTGGGAAGATAATTATCTTCTCTCAACGGCTACTTTGAAGACCTAGACTGCCGTTTCCTCCTTTATAAATAGATTTGTATTTTAGATGTTGGACATACTGTTCTCTCTCAAGTATTCTCTAAACTCTCATTGTAACAATTGATTATTCATAGTGCAATCGGTGGATTTCTCCCACCCGCAGTTTTTCCCCATTGGGTTTTCTGCGTCACCAAATATCGTTTGTTCATCTTTATTATCTCGCATTTCGTTTATCCATAGCATAGTTTGTCTAGCAGTCGACGTCCCAGCCTAACGTCGTTCCTTGACGATTTTTGGCATTAACACCGTTCACTTCACCTCATTTTGTTGATGTGAAATTATTTTTACTGATTTTCACTTATAATTCTTCTTTAAAAACTGAATTATACTGAACTAAACTTATTTTTACTGAAGTGAAATTAATTTTACTGAACTGAACTTAATTTTACTGACTGAAGTATTATTTTCTTAAGGTGAAATGAACAGGGCCGAACTACACATATTTTGTAACCATCACAATGTTTAAGTCACAAATTTTTTCTTAATAAATGTTATTAAATTTATAGTAAATTGAAACTTATTCAGTATTCATTCCCGGAAAAAAAAAAAAAGAAATTCTCAATATTCTTTCCAAAGTTTGGTAACTTGAAATTGTATAAATCATATCACGATTTTGTGAATATTCTAATTATAATTAGAATCTCGTGTAATAATCTTTATAATATACTTGGCGTCAAAAAAAAAAAAAAAAAAAAAAAAAAAAAAAAAAAAAAAAAGGCAAGAGTGAATTAAAAAGGAAAAAACAACCCCTGAAAGTTATTAAATAGTTAACACTATTATTGTCTAATTTTGGGCGATAGATGTTAATATATAATATGTTCATTTGTACTTATTGAAAACATTCACATCCTTAATTATCCCTTTCCCCATCTCACCATGAAAACCGATCCAAAACCCATCCTACCCGCAAAACACCCCTCCTTCATCCCCGCCCCCTCCCCCCAAAGCACGAAAACCACCATCTTCCCCCATTTCCACCCTAAAACGCCTTTTTGGAAGGGTTTTGAGGCTGGGGATAGGGTTTTGGGGCTGGAAAGAGGAGGAAGTTATGTTTTAGGGTTAGGGAAGAGAAATGATTCATGAGCAGGGGTAGTGGCTTAGGGGGTTAAGGGTGTCGGATAAGTGGAGGTTGAGGAAAAGGGTTGCCACATATTGGCAGTAAGGATGGCAATCTAAATGGATATTTGCTAACCTGATCCAATCGCTTTATTAAATGGACGAAAACTCGAACTAAATGGATGAAAACGGGTGATAGGTGAAATGGATGATGGATTGGATTGGATTTGATTGGATTGGATGTGATTATGTGAATGATTTCTATTCCTCTAGTAAACCATGTATCCTGGCCACCCACCCGTTTAAAGTATATTATGTATTCGATTTATCTAAAAAAATTAATAGAAAAAATATGAAATTTGCAATACTTTTTTTTTTTTTTTTGTTTAAAATTATTTTTTTCAAACAATAAGTAGGTATTGTGTCTTTTCTTTTTTTTTTTTGGGTAGAACATAAACAATTATTGTATAAACAACTATAAAAGAGTTTACATGATTTTTTTTTTTTTTTTTTTTTTTTTTTTACTTTAAGTATTCCTTCATCAGTCATCTGATCCATCTGTATCATCAGTGGATGATGCACGGACGAAAGCGGATGATGGGTGAAGCGTGTGATGGATGGATGTGGCCGGAAGGAGCGATTGGAATAACGGATGAGTTCGAGTTAAACTTCACATGTATAACCTAACCAAGTTCAATCCACTATTATCTCTAGTCAGCGGTAGCGGGGGCTGGGGGTTAGTGGTGCCAGAGAAGAGAGGAAATACTAGTTGATCAGCCAGCAGATTGACAAAGAAAGCACATCAGGGGGTATTTTGGTAAAATACCTTAAAAAGGTAAGGGTAAATATGTAACATCCTGGAGACGTTAACATTTACTGGAAAATGTTGACTAACGTCTTCCCCAGTCAAAGCAGTAAAATTCCGTTAACACCGTTTGCATCATTTTCCCAATTTCAAAAACCGAGTCCCTGAAATACCATCTTCTACCACACACACCATTACATTCTACAAAATGCCAGAATTGGATTGAAAATAAGGTACCCAATCATGAGTACTAACTAAAATTCAGAATAATATAATTTTGGATTAAACAAATCTGATCAAACCCAATACCCAACAACAGATTTAAGCAGTACTAATCTGTACATTAAAACCGAAATGTAAATATAGAATTGAATACCAGGAATTACGAGTAAGCAGGTAATTTGACTTGCTCGACAAACCTTCGCTTATTTCATCTTCCGAGCCCACAAGGATCGCCCAACAGATCTAAATGATTATAGCAATGGCGTTCCAAGATAGAGGGTCGAAAATTTTAAAATATTCTGTTTTTCGTTTGGGTTTGTTGTTGACGGCTTTAATTGCCACGTTATATGGCCCACACTAACGGCAGAAATCCGTCCTTAACGCGAAATAGTACAAAGGAATATAAAAATAATATGCAGTACACTGTGTGGCCCACAAAGACTCTTGATTTACAAAATTTTGTAAATCAGGCTGATTGTCTGGGTCTGGATCCAGAGAAGATGGGGCTGGGGAAAGAGGGCTGCCACCTGGCGACGATGGCAGAGGTTGGGGGTTACGCGCGGTTGTTTTTTTTTAATAAAAAAATTCTATTTATTATTATTTGATTAATTTTATAAAATTATTTTTGGATCAATCGGGTGATGAAATGTGTCCAACATTGTTATAACAGGTTATGTGACCTGTTGGGACCAACATAAGAAAATACCATCTAAAGTTGAAATTATTTAATAATAATTCAAGGTTGGGATTGTTAAAATTAAAAATGAATGAGCAAAAGTTCGGATTATTAAAATTATTTTTTCAAAAATAAAAAATAAAAATCATTGTTTATATTACAAATTTTTTTTCTTGTTTGTTGTATCAATTTATTACAAAGTAGTATTATATTTACTGCTTATTATTGTTTCATTTACAAAATAGTATTAAAAGTATTTTAACTTTAATTTGTAAATTAAATGTGGGTAAGAAGTAGGGCAGTTGGGGCGAGGATGGGACGGGAACAACCTAAAGTCCACCCCCACCCTGTCACCCATGGCAAGTATGGTTTTCATTTTCATCCTTGCCCTGCCATCTGCCAAACCACTAGGGTGGGGATGGGCGGGTCTCCTACTTGACTCGTCCCACTAATATCCCTAGCTATAATGGCATCAATTAATAATAAAGACAAAGAACAAGAAAATAAACCAAATCGTGAAAACAAATAATAAAGACGAAGAACTAGAAAATAAACCAAATTAGGAAAGGAATTATAAAGGCGATGAACAAAAATAAACCAAATTAGGAAAGAAATAATAAAGACGAAGAACAATAAAATAAACCAAATCAGTAATAGAAAAAATAAAGTTGAAGAACAAGAAATCCAAATCAGAAGAAGAAATAATAAAGACAGTGAACAAGAAAATAAATCAAATCAGGAACAGAAATAATAATGACAAGGAACAAGAAAATAAATCAAATCAGGAAAAGAAATAATAAAGATGAAGAACAAGAAAATAAACCAAATCAGAAAAGAAATAATGAAGACGGAAAACAAGAAAATAAACCAAATCAAGAAAACAAATAATAAAGACGAAGAATATAAAACTAAACCTAGTCGGAAAAAAAATAATAAAGACGAATAACAAGAAAATAAACCAAATGTGTAGATTAAGTGAGAAATGTTGTGATGGGCAATAATGAAGCCTGAAATTGGAAGATCGAGGGAAATAATGGTTGGCCGTGACAAATATTGATGGAGCCGAGTTAGGTTTTGCATGTGGGAGTAGGTGTGATTGTGAAGCTAGAAAACACATGCATTATAGGCAATATTGTCTACTTGTGTTTTGGTTGAAAATCATATATTTGATCTGTTTTTAAATAATTATAATACTACATTCGTTTCATATTAGTTGCAACGATTTGACATGAATTAGAGAGAAAAAATGTTCAATCGTTGCAAATAATATGAAACGGAGGTAGTATTTAATTTATTTAAATTCTATGAGTTAGTGAACTCAATATAAATCATATCATACGGAGTATTTTATTAATTTCATATTCTTTCTCTTCCAATTATTTACAACAATTTTTGTTTTGTACGTTTTTTTTTTATGGAACGATTTTTTATTCTTCCATATATGATATATCCTACTACCTCCATTTTTATTACCTTTTCCAATTTTTTTTCTAAATTATGTGCATGGAGAAATGGAGCAAGTATGTAAAAACGGAGGGAGTAAGATCTAAAACTTTTGATCTTTTAGCATAGTAGAGTAGATTTCAGCAATTAAAGCAGAGCAGAATTTCTGCACACTACACAGCAGAGCAAAACAAATTTCAGTAGAGCACACCAAAAGAACATAGCCTGATTAATCTAGAGTAGGGCTGGCAAACCCTGACCCGACACGAAAACCCGACCCGAACCCGATCCGAAGTTACTGAGAGAGACCCGAACCCGACCTGAACCGAACCCGAACAACCCGAATTCGACCCGATTTGACCCAAATTTCATATTTCGTAATAATATTAAGTTTTACACTATTTTTAATAGTTTCTAA